GTATGAAATATTGGAATACATCTTTGATGTAATTTAAGATTTAAAATATTGCTTAGTTAATTATATATATTTATGATACTCTTTTGGTAGGTTTGGTAGAAAAAAGTTTACCTTTAAAGTTTCAATAGAAATGAAAAAGTTTCGTTTTCAATGTAGTTACGAGATTATAAAATATTTCTTTAAAAAAAAATCTTTTTTTCATGCCATTCGTAATATCTTACATTGTAAAAAAACATTATCTTTAATTAAAGCAACCTCATTAAAGTATTATCTATACAAATATATAAATATATTGGCGATTAATTATCATCCTTCCTTAAGGTTAATTATTATACATTCCTTTTTGATACAACAAATTTAACTCTGATACTATTACACATCTTTAAATAGTCATAATTTTCTGCTTTGATAGCTTTCTTCTGGACACTAACGTACAGATGATGCCCACATAGAGGTTCTACCTCACCCGTATTTAAACATAAGTACTAAAATCTCCAATTCCAATGTCTTGAAGGCGTATAATTACTTGTAAATACGAAAACGTCCATAGAAATTTGAATATTTTTGCACACATAAAATATAGTTCTGAAAATTTAGCCATTAATTTTAAAAACTTTTACACTGTCATAAAACCGAACGTAATCTGTTTAAGCCAGTTTCATTTTTTAAAGTTGCAAAGTAAGCGTAAAACAATAAAAATGTTTATTAATACATTTAAGTTTAGAAATAGAAACAAAAAAAAGAAAAAAAGAAAAGAAATACATGGGATTACAATTTCTTTAATCTCATTGGTATTAACTAGTTTTCAAAATGTACTAATTTTTAAATCTTTTTCGCGTTTTATACTAAATCTTAAAGGTCCGTCATAATTTATTTTTATTTTCTTTGTCCCACTTCTAAAAATGCTGGACCATCATTACATTTGAATATACCCTTGAAAGTATATTTTAATAAATAAGTCTTAGGTGTTGATAAGACTCGTGTTTGTTATGCCACAATCTAGTCAGATTACTTAAAAACAAAAAATAATTAGATAAGATGACTATGTTATATTTGGCAAGAAAACAATGTGTATTGTCTTACTTACGTATGTAAGATTTAGTGATGCAATATTCAGAATTACAACAGAATTTTTAATTTTGCCTCATTTAATAATATATGGGTGTATGTTTGCGGAAACCTATTTCTTCCAAAACTATTTGAATAGGTATCAGCGCTAAAGATCAAAATACAAATTGGATTTCAAAAATTGAGAATTACTTTGCATTATTTTTTTTACAAATATTTTAGACATTATTAGAAGAATTAGTTTCTTATTATTCTAAAATGTTAAATATTTTGTGTAACAGGTCAGTAAGATTTGAAATAAAAGCCTCCAAGTTTTTCAATTCCTTCCACTGGCGTAGCTAGCTTTGAGAGGGACCTGTATCAAAATTCCTTTAGGGCCCTTTTTTAGATATGAGAACCCTGTTATTGGGACTGTAATTACACATGTTGGAGCCTCTGTAGCTTGGGGGCCCCAAGCTACGAACAAAAATAATAGTCCAACACCCTATGTAGAGAAAAAAATGGTGAATTGCAAGGAAATTCGCTTTTTTTCTCCACTTAATATTATGATCTGCCATATGTAAATACATGTTAATACTAATTGTAATTGCTTTATAAAAAGTATCTATAAAATAAAAAAACAAAATTTGTTGTCCTAAGTAGGAATTGACGTAAAAAAATTTTTTTTAACATTATTTTACACCAAAACTAAAAAAAAAAATATCAACCATTATTAATAAAACTTCTTAAAATATAACTGTTTTTTTTTTTTAAATATGCATGAAAAAATTTCAAACATATTTTAAAGAATTCCTTTTCCATTGTCTTTTTCATGACTTATAGCCAAAGTTAGCCCAAAAATCTAAACCATATGTGACTTACACTTGCTTCGTTGCCAATTTTTTACTATGTCTCTGTCAAACTCAATCTACCTCGAAGCATGCATTGCTTAAGAAGCAAGATGGCGATGATTTATGCTAAATTTCGTCAGCAGCAACTGCATGGCAAAGGGATTCTGAAACAACTAAGCAACCTGAATTGCTGGAGCATATTCATGACGAAAAAGTGTATATGATCTCTTGCTTTTGTCCTGCCCTTGCAGCGAACCCAAGGAGGGACGTTCTTGTCTATTTTCATCATGGAGGCCTCTTCTCTTTTGCCACAGTTACAGTGAAAGAAAAGGTCGGGGGTGCCAGGAGTAGAAAATAAGAAAAGGCTCCGCAACAGCTGTGAGAACCTTTTGCTGTCACCGCTTACGCAAGTTGTCTATGGTGCATCTTTCTTCGGCGAGTGAGAGTCATCTCGGAAGCAGATCTAAAATTAGTGGTCTGGCAACTCGGGGGATGTATTGAAACATTCGTCCTTGCGTCGATCGCGACACGGTCCGAAGCGTGCGCGATTTTCTTTCTTTTTTTGAGGGACGGTATGCTAATTGCATCTCCGAACTAAGATGATGGGAAATGCAAATAGTACTGGAGGGGAACACTAAAATAATACGCACTATCTTTGACTCGGGTTAAAGAATAAGGCTTCTTTAAGAATACAGGTGAAATGCTAATGCTAATTTACGAACTGAAAGGAGTTACTCACAGTTGTAAATGTTATTTAATAAAAATTGTTCGCATAGCGTAAAAGAATCCAGGATTCTTCTGAAATAGACATTAATTTCATCATATTCTATTTCCTGTCATGTTCTATAGAATAATAAGTTCAAAAAGCAGTCCATATTATAATGCAGGGACGTCTTAAGACATTTTGAGGCACTGAGCCCAGAGAAATCTTAAGATTTTGTGAGGCCCTGGGTCCTTACGCAAAAGTATAGACCGTACCTATGATCTTTAAAAGTAGACAGTATATATAGCACGCATTATTAAATACTTATACAAACGGTATTTTGTTACAAATAAATGTGCATGACTTGCAATCTCACAAACCGACCAGACCGATAGCCGCGTTTGACTAAATGAGTTGAATGATTGCTTATGGCATTAGGATTAGGCCTAGACATGGACATTGGTCATCACATAATAATATAGTCTTGCCACTTTTGCCAGTTGACATGCAATTTGAAATTCACTGCTCTTTTCGGAGAATATGTAGGTAAGGGAATAATATTTGACCATTAAAATTATCCGGATTACGATCTTATTAAAACTGAGTCGAGAACGAAACGAGGCCCCAACCGAAATCGAGGCCCTAGGCCCATGCCTTAAGACGTCCCTGTTTTTTTTAGAATGGTTTTAATATTTATATTTGTATTTTATTGCATTTAACCCCAGAAATATGTTCCAAACTTATTTATAAACTTTGGTTCTTTAATTCTCAGAAATTCTTCAATATTTAATATATAAATTTAAAAAATCACAAACATTTAAATGTTTCTAAATTTTAAGAGTAAAATTTGATAAATAGGATGATGCGTTACACAATCGATGGAATTCTTATATAAAAATTAGGACATTGCTCACTGAGAAAGTATTCTGGTTTCTGTTATTTATCATTAGAGGGATACAAAAATTGTCGAAAAACATTAAATAATCCAGAGGAAAATTTCCAATTATTTCAATGTTTTAAAAAATATCTTTTTAAAAGGAAAGGGAGTGAATGAGTGAAAATTAAGTTAAGTCGCATTATAAGGCAAAACTTGGGCTATTGGTGACGAGCATCGTAATTTTGAGCCTTTGTCAAGTGACACCTAAACTGGCATTCCTTCTTCAAACTACTACAACAAGCCAACGGGAGGACTTTGCGCTCGGTGGATTTAATGTGCATCAATCCCCTTTACACGGAAAAGGAGAGAAAGAGGGACATGGATACCACGTTTTTATAGATTAGTGGGAAGCACTTTAATAATGCCATTTTAGTCAGAATTAAATCTTTATAAATAAATTCAAAACTATTGTGTGAGTCTCACGTATACATCCTTTCAAAAATTTTGATGTATTTTAATGAGATTTATATTGCACAAAATTTAAAAAAACAAAACATTTATTAAACTACAAAAACTAAACCAAAACTACGTTTCTGTTTATTTTTTGTATTACAGTATAATTTTTAATAGAATTGTTTATCCTTTGATTAAAAATAAAAGTAAAAACAATATTTTAATAATGATCCAAGTCTATGATAAATTTCGGATATAAATAAATTGTGAGACATTGAACACATTACCAATAGAAAGAGAATATTGAGATTTTGTAACGTTTAATCTATTATTATTTTGACAATTTCACGTACTAATTGTATCTTAATAATAGCACAAACAATTAAACATAATAATAAAATTAACAGTGAATGCTTCCTCACAAATGTTGAGATTTTATAAATTATGTGAATGATTGAAATATAATACATTGTATTTAAATGGGGAGTAGGTGTTTATTAGCATCAGATCATCATTATTGGTGACGTACTTAGTAAATTTGAATCACTGTTACACTTAAGTTGGAACCCCATTCTCCTAGCTTCCGCACCACGCTAACGAGAGAACTTAGAGCCACGAACTGATTTACCGAGCATAAGCCTTTCTACACTGAGATTTTTCTCAGTCAAGTCATATATATTTAAAGAAAGATGTTAAATAACATTCCAGTCTTTGGAATCACCGTACCTCAACTTATATACATATTTTATAAAAAATGTTAATGTAAAATGGGAAGATGCTTTGGTAATTCATTTTAAACTCTTTTTTTTTTAAATTCCTCTACTATTAGCTCACTCTCTCCCTATATATATATATATATATATCTTGATCAAATTTTCAATCGTTAATACTTCCTAATCATCCATTCAAGTTCAAATACATATTTTTAAACTTGTAACGTACATGGCACTTGATGTTAATACAGTTTTTTCAAATATTAATTCATTAATTAAATTTAAAAAATGAATAAATAGTAACTAACAAATATAATTGTCCAACAGCATATATAAAAAGGAAAATCGTTTACTGTGTCCCTGTAGCGCGATGGAGAGCGAGTTGGACTTCTAATCCAAAAGTCGTGGGTACGAATCCCACCTGGGATGGTCTCATTTCTGAGAATGGGATTTCTTTTTTACTATACTATTTTATTAAAATAGTTAAGTTGAATTAGTGAATAAATAGTCACAAATAAACAAAAAAAAATAGTCCACACAACGCCCTATATAGAAAGGAAATGGGAAATTGCAAGGAAAATCGCTTTCTATTTTGCCACTTAATATTGTGATTCTGTCATATGTATATACATATTTATTTGTGAATTGTAATTATTTAATAAAAAGTAACTAAATTAAAAATTTTCTTTGTTGACCTAGGTAGGGAATTCTTAATTCTTTTTTTTTTTTTCTTTTTTCATATTATTACGTTGTTAACACGAAGACTGAAAATTATTTCGGTTTCCACAAACTCCAAAAGCTCCCCCTTATTCACTTGTTTGTTTTGGACCTTAACTAACAACAACATTTATTTTTAAAAATTTCATATAAATCACTAAAGACAATTGTCTGCACGACCTGTAAACAAGGAAGGACATTTTTTTTTCCTTTCCTTCTCATCTTGTGTAATAGCAGACAGGCAAAACTTTGGTCTCAGTCAGTCTGTTGCAGATTACGTTTGCGCACCTCTTCTACTTCCCTTGACCTTAAAGAGGCAAGTAGCCAGGAAGGTAAGGCCCTACTGTCTTTCAGTTATTTTTAAACACCCCACACACAGAGAGTTTTTCACTTGTTCTTCGAAACTCCATCCACTATTTGCTACTTTCTCAACAAAACATCGCGATTGTCCTCCGACTTGTTAAGATATGATGGATCTATTCAGGTCACAAAGAGCATTCAGGGAAACAACAAAAAAAAGTCGTTCACACCAAAAAAAAGATTCCATAAGACTTAAGATAAAAGAGAATTAATTGGTGTTTAAAAATTATGGATATTAATTAAAGGTACGTAACAAAATACATGATATAATCACGATAGAATGAAAATGAATCCTTTTTGATGAAAAGGAATTAAAGCATTTAATTTTCCAAACTAATTTAAATATTTAATTAATCTATTTACAGAAACATATGTTGTTGTGAATTTTCTATAATTGAAAGGAAAAATAATAAATACGAAGATTGCTAAAATGCAACTGTTTCTAATCACCAAAATCGATCTTTTAAAAAAGAATTTATCTTGAATATAATAAAAATTAATTAATAATTTGAGTCTTCTTTTTTTCTTCAAAAAAACTCATTTTAAAGTGACTGACTACGTTCAGAACCGTGATTTTGAAAAATCATAAAAATGAAACAATTTTTTGATATTTAGTATCAGTTGAATTGAACATACATATAAAATTGCTTTAAGAATATTATTAAAAGAAAAAAATTATCTAGATGGAATTTTTTTGGCAAAAAATGAAGAAAGAATAACATAATTTCAAGACACTCTTCTTTATATAAGAAAAATGCTTCGATAATAAAAATATTTTGCCCATGTATAGCTAAGATTTCGCTACAGACTGAACTAAAAGTTTTGAAAAATTCACAATTTTCAGCTATGATCAATTAAAATAATAACCGGTTTACAATTTTTTTACCCCTTTGTATTAAAATATAAATAAATGCACCTCTAAACTATATATCTCAAAAATCCTAGTTCGGGGTCTGTATAGAAGTTTTAGTTATATATATAGATAAAATATTACTGTTATAGGGATATTCTTCATAAAAGGAGAATGTTTTGAAAATATGTCCCTTTTCTTCATTTTTTTGCTCAAAAATTGCACTTTTAAATCATTGTTTTATTGTAATAATACTCTTAAAAGAATTTTCTATGCATAGTCTAAATCAACTGACACTAAATATCACAAAATTGTTCATTTATATGCTTTTGCAAAATCACGGTTCTCCCAAAATTGTAATTTCAGTATACAAAATTACTACAAATTCTCAAAAGCAAAATTAATCGTATATCACTTTTACCTATTCTTTCAGAATTTAATGTTAAAAGTGAAATAAAATAGAAATCATATTTGGAATAAAGAATACTCGTTAAATCTTTCAATTGTTGTTGAAATTATTAACAATCATATATACACACAATTGAGTCTTTTGTGAAATTTCTACCACTTACATGACATTCAACATGGTTTGTACATTGCATTACTGATTATGCTTTGAAACAATTAAATTCATACAGGAAAACTGTTTCTCACATACTTCGTTAAAATTCCTTTTAACCTTTATTTCGAACCTCATCACAGAAAAATTTAGAAGTTAAAAGGATGTTACATTCTTAAAACATTGCTTAACTTCCAAGCTATTTCTTTTGTATTCAAGCCCCACGTAAAAATTCCGATTCGTACAAGCAGGGAGTAGATAAATAAAATAAGTAAAAAATATGGAGAAAAGCTTCTGATAAAAAATAGTCTCGGGTCTCAAAACACGACACTGGACAAACCACAATTGAGTGGGTAAGGTTTCGTGGTGGAGCCTGTCGGTCATTCGCAATTCCTGAGATCAAGCTGACCTTGAAATGCCATCAGAATTTCTAGGTGTGGACGAAATCTTGTTAGATGAGGCCCACCAAAGGGTAACACCGTCTCTTACGGTGTCCAATAACTCTCGAATTTCAAGGTACACTAAGAGTTATGGAGGACCTCTTGAAAGTTGTATAGGCTTAGGAGAAAGTGACATATAACACTTACTACACCAGTTGCATAACCAAAAAAGTATTACATAAATGTCAAATTTTATGAAAAAATAATCAAAATTTATTAAATAATTTTTCAACTACGTTATAGTTCAATCACATACATTTTATAATTAATTAAATTAAATATAATTTAATATTTATTTTAATAATTTGAATGTAACATATATGTAACTGTGAAAAAGCTCATTAAATAAATTAACTTTAACAAGTAATATAAAGAAAAATTTTAAGTCAATTCCTACTTAGGTTAACAAAGAAAAATTTTATTTCAATATTACTTTTTTTTATTTGTTACAATGAATATAAATATGTATACACATATGACCGAATCACAATATTAAGTGACAAAATAGAAAGCGATTTTCCTTGCAATGTTCCATTTTCATTTCTATATAGGGTGTTGGGCTATTTTTTGTTTGTGTGTTACTATTTATTCATTAATTAAATTTAATTATTCTAATAAAAAAGGATAGTAAAAAAGAAGTCACATTCTCAGAAATTAGACCAACTTAATTAGAACTTAACGCGGAACACATTTTCAGACAGAAAAAATTTCTCAATTTTTATAAAAATGTGTGACATTGTAACTCATGCATTTGTTTATAATATAGTGTTTTTAAAATTTCAAAATATATAATAAATAATTAGTTTTTCCTTTTAACATGTGAAGGGATAGCTCATTCAGCATTACGGTATAGGAAAAAAGTGCAAAACACATTTTATAAAAGAAAAAAATGTGTCAAAACTCGGATAAAAATGAGTAGTATGATAAAATTAGTGATTCTCTACAGGGTAGTGTAGCCAGAATATAATATTAATGTTTGTGTGTGTGTGTGTGTGAGTACTTTTATAACTGAAAAAAAATATTCCAAATTCAGCCCCTATTCTTTAACATTAGCCGAAGATAGCGTTAAATGAAAAAATAGTGATTTTTTTTGTTGTTGTTCTGAGATATAAATCGGCTTACAGTTTTTTCTATCGAGTAAAGACGAACAAAACGAAAGTTAACATAATTTTAGATTTTTTTAACAACTCACTAGTTTTGTGAGATGATAGAAAAAACATAATCGAATAATCCAAGTCAATGAGTCTCTCTACCACGGTTGCGCGGCACTATGGTGTGCCACTAAATTCTTGAAGTGTGCTACCAGTTTTTTTAAATTATTAATTATACTTTGAGAAAAAAAAATAAAATTCGATACCGAATCATCAGCCATTTTATCGAAATAAATTAAGAGTATTCGGGGTACATTTAACTTATCCTTTCAAGAATAGATGGATATAAAAAAAATTTGATTGGATTCGTAATCCATTTGTGTACGGATACATCTGTGTATAAATTATCTTTGAATGAAGAGAAAAACTATTTCGTTCTGCAGTAATCGAGATTTAATTTCAAGGCATTTGGAAGAGTCACTTAGTTTATCTTGGATTAAAATTAGAGGCGATTATACAGCATCAGTGGCGCTTACAAGGGGTCCGGACACCTCCCACAGTCCTTGATTTTTTTTTCGATTGGTTATAATTCTATGTATATATGACGTAAAATTTAATTATGTATTCATTATTAATAATTAATTTTATTAATTAATGCTAGCTATTTATTTAGTAATTAATCTTGTATTGTTTTTGTTCCCGAAAATCGGCAAAATCAAAAGAATGTGTTGGGCGACGCATTGGAGCATGATAAAAAATGG